GACCTCATGACTCTCATGCCAACACTACCAAGGCAGCCATACAGGGGTCATTCAAGATCTGGTGTTCCCAAACAAAACATGTTAGTTTGTGTTCTTTCTCTGTTTTGTAGTCTAGTGTTTGTGTCTATTGTATCTTGCCTGTAGGGCCCATGTGATCCTGCGATGACATTGTAAATCATCTAGACAATAGGATCATGGTACTTACCCACTCCTCATTTGTATTTGTACCCATGCAAATGCTTTCACACACGAGAGAGAGAGAGAGAGAGAGAGAGAGAGAGAGCGCAGAAGGCATTCCTCCCTACAAATCCCGGGGTGGTGGAGAACCAGGCCAAGCAAGCAGATCAGCCCGGCAGCAGAAACGCTCGCTGGTTGGAGCGAGGGTTGGTGTGGGCTCAGCGAAGGCCAAGGTGCTGCTCAATGGCCATTCAGGCGTCAACTGGGAAAAGAGTGAGCCCTACACTTACAAATCAGTGACTGCGAGATCCGGTGCATTGAAGTTCCTGGCCGGCCGGTGCGGGTTCACTCCCACAGTGCCATCCGCGATTGAGCACGTGAATTTCACTCTTAATTAACCCCCTTCCTCCGTTTCCGTGACTGAAGACCAGTAGACACAAAGAACTTTCCTCCGGTGTTCAACTATCTGGACAGGGAGAGATATAGGGTGAACTATCTGGACAGGGAGAACTATGGGGTGAACTCTCTTTTCTTCTTTGCACTGTCATACTGTTGTATTTTTCTTCCACTACCCCTCTCTTATAAAAATGTCTACAATCTCTTCCACAGTTGCCATTGAGAAGATTGCTCACAAGCTGTTTATAGACCAGATGCAGGCCAAGGAATGTGTCGTGCCCCAGGTGGCGACAGAGGTGAGCTAGTTGTCCCTCCTGGTGTTCAACTTCAACCACATCAGAGGCAGACAAGTTCATCGGCAAAGTTGTTGACAAGTTTGCACTCGTATCCATTTGCTTTTTGTGTTCTTCTCCCTTTTACAGTATCTTATAGCTTGAGTATTCCATTCCTCTATTCCCCCATTCCCCCATGTCAGGTTCTCTGAAGCAGAAGAGTGTTGTACACAATGCTGGACCTTCTCCACCAACCTTTACTCTCTCTACATACCATGGTAACCCCTCTGTCACATTGAGCCTCATGTGATCCAGTCACGTGACTGTGATGTGACCCCCACTCCACGACCCTGACAGACGTCGCAGTCTGTGGTTATTTTTCCTGATCTTCCTCACTCTTTTACCTTTCCCCGAAAATTTCACAAAGAGAGGTGTGCTGTGTGGTGGGAAAATGTAGTGTTCAGGGTGTCTGTTTCTTGTTTTAGGGCTAGTGATATGGAAATCAAGGTCCAACCATCCTGAATACATTGGATATTAGCAGGAGTGTGCAGTCCTTATGTTTAGCAAGCAAGAGAGGGGAAGAGACTCAGTGATTTTCACTGCACACTTCTGCTGTAGTCGAGGTATTAAGGATTGTTCGTTGGCCGGTACTTCAACCTTGCTAAATACGAACATTTTAAGCCACCTACACAATTTTCTCACTGTTTTTGCAGAAAACAGTCAGTTACTTTGCTTTGTGAGTGGAGTAAATCTTGCAGCTTGCCATGCGTTAGTCTCCACGGGAAACGACCTCTATATTCCTCGAGTATGTCTAATCTGCTCCGCCAACGACTCCGGGGTCTCCCTGGCAACCACCCAGATCAACAAACTTAAACCTTAACCCTCACAACAAGCATTTACCAGTGAGGGAGAGGACACAATCTTACACATTGTTTTTCAATTTCGTAAAAGAATCACTTCAAGTTTAGGCAGGAGCATAAGTGCTTCAAAGCAGTGGTTTTAGTTACGAATTTGGTGTACTTTTGAAATTGCATAATTTGTATGACTGTGTTGTAGTCATCTGTTCACCTTATGTACCTCCTTCCCTATCTCCCTCCCACAGGATGATATTCTTCTCTACTGTACCTCAGTTGGTACAAGCTCTGAGGTACGACAAGTTGGGATTTGCCAAGTCCTACATAATCACTGCAGCCAAGACCTCCCAGCTACTGGCTCATATGGTGAGCTGAGTAATCCTCAGGATATCTCAGTAAACTGGTCAGTAAACTATACTTAGAATCTTTGTGTCAGTTAAAAATATAATGTTTTGGTTTTCCAGTCAGTAAACATACACACTATCGCTAATACTAGTCAGTAAATGAAACCTGTTGTTAGTAAACTACTCAGGAAATTGTTGGACACTATTGTTACACCACTCAGTAAACTACTCCCTGCCTCCCGTGGAACATGGAGTCCAACATATACGTGGACGGGGAGGTGACACAGAGGGACCCAGAGATTGGTGACCTGCTAGAGCAGCTGGCTGGTGAGAGCATAGCCAGCATGACTGGAACTGCTCTCAAGTTCAACGAGAGAGACTTCACCTTCTTCTGGTCAGGGAACGTCACCAACATTATCTGGCATCATCCGGCCCTGCCCCAAGGGACCTCAGAGGAACTCAAGAGTGTCTGAGGTGGAACTTTAGCCTGGTTATCTCTCTGTGTTTTCTTTTTTCCTCTTCTTCCCTTCTTCCTTCTTTCCCTATACTTCAATGATGACACACATACACTCAATACATTTTCACATCTCTTTGTGATGCCGGCGCACTTCTTTGTTACCACACTCACCAGAATTAGCACAAACTTATAATGTTCTTACTGCTCTAAAACCCAACAAACAGTGTGTGATACTTGTGACCTACACTCTGAAAATGAGACTATGAAGGGGAAAAAGACACATCCCGTGTATTATAGAAAATGCTCAAATGTTATTCTCTGTCTCCCCATTCTGTAGGTGTGTAACTTCTCAGTAATCAAGACTCAATGGTGGCAGAGATAGACTACGGGTCAGGTAATTCCATGCAGAGTGCTGCCAAGGCACCATTCCTCACAAGATTCAGAGGTGGCAAATGTTGGACCGGAGAGGTGCAGAAGATGAACACCCATGATCGGGAGGTATTTCCCTTTTATGGGAGAGTTAAATGCACTGCTAGATGCAATCCTTACATGAATAATACTATATTCCTCCACATCTATATGCTAAATGATTACATTTCATTGTACTTATTCCTTCCCTCTTCCACCCTCCAGCCCTGAGCTCCCTCTCTTCCCAGTTGTCTCCTTGAGTGGTGTGGCAGGCAGCCATAATCAAGATCTGAGACGACACGAGACAAAACATGCTGGCCCTCCAGATCATAGAGCTGTTGCGAGACGTGCTTCATTCTGTGGGACTCAGTCTATACCTCGTTCAGTACCGCGTGGTCGCTACTGCAAGTGGTTTAATTACCTCGGTCTGCTCCTACATACTGAGTGAGAGTACATATAGTGTGCCATAGCACAGTGGTTTGAGGTTTGTCTTTGTGTTGTATTGTGTTGTAGATTTGAACCCCCACCAGCTGAGTTGCCCTGGTGGTAGAGCACTTGCCAAGACTGTAGAGTGTCGTGGGTTCTAATCCCACCTTTCATATACAAAAGGCTTTTTTGGGTGTTGTTCAGTAAATGACACTTTGTAACATTCACAACAGCTGAGTTCACCTTCCCCTAGTAGCTCAGTTGGTAGAGCGCTCTCCTTGACTGCAAGGTGTCGTGGGTTCCTTAGGGCAGCTCTTTTTTTTGTGTAGTTTGTTTGGTGTTGTGCCATTGCCCTTCTTCTGCCGTTTTCACATGCTATTGACTAACCAACACCGTTACATATGTAGTTTTTTTAGAGTGACACACCAGGCAACAATATAGGGGACGTATTGGGGGTGACAGTGTGCTCAAATCTGTTCATTAACCAGGCTTCATGTATCCCATCCCTATCTTGTCTCCTTTTCTTTTTATAGCATCCCTATATGCCTCTTTTATAATTATAAATTCGCAGGATTTACTTGTGTACTAAGTACTACGTACCTAGTGATATACCTCCATCAAACCCAGTTATAAATCGTACACCTTCACTCTGTGTTCTGTAATAGTGAATAATGTGTAAGAAAGGGGCGTATCATTGTAAAGCATATCTGTTCAGTCATGTGATACGTATAATAATTTATATTTTTGTTATGGTAATCAATTGTAAAACAGGTACGTATGTACATGTGAACATTTGATAAATTCCTCTGCCTGCTTTTCTGTAATCTGCAGACTGTTTTAAGCTACCCTTCAACGATGCTATACTGAGGTAGTCAGTAAGCTCTATTATGTATTAACCCTGTATGTAGTACATTGTACGTGCTAGTCTCAGCTAACATTGTGCAATGTAATGTAGATACATGGACTGCAGTAAACTCCTCTCTCTGTTGTGATAGTGAATAAAAGTGTAAGAAAAGGGGTGTAGCACTGTAAAACAGATACATGTGTTGTGGTTCAAACATGTGATAAGCTCTTCTGTTAATGAATAGAAGGAAGGACGTAGTTTATTTTAAATTGTTATATCTGCTATGGTAGTGAATTTGAGTGCTAAGAAAAGGCGTAACACAAATAGATGGAGGCTCAGTTATCACCAAATGTTTGTGTGGCATTTCCAGTGCAGGTGTTGTTGATTGTAATTCATGAACTGTGCAGCTAAATTTCTCTGTCTGTTATGATAGTGAATTTTAGTTGAAGTAAAAAACATGTGGGACCCAGTCGTGCTACCTGTTCGTGTGGTGTGACCAGTGCAGGTGTGGGTGTAGAGTCATGAACTGTGCATACGCACACAAACTTCTCTGTTACGGTAATGAATAAAAGTGTAAGAAAAGGGGCGAACCATTGTAAAACAGGTACATGTGTTGTGGTGACAAGTAAATAAAAATGTCTTCAAAGTGTAGAATAATTATAAGGATGCCATAAAAAGCAAGGAGACAAGACAGGGATGACCTAGTGTTTGTGTATAATCGATGATGTTTACATCTCCAAAATCCTCTCTGTATTGTCGCAAAGCACGAGTGATTTCCCTCGTATGATGTGCACCACATGGATGATGGCAAACTGACGTTGCTCGCTCGTGTAAATTTCCTTCGCACAAACCCTTTATTGTTGCCTCTTTTACGCACTACATGAGCTGTGAAGACAATGGTGGAAGGATTCTGTAGAGGACCGGAATAAACCATTGTAAAACTGGTTATAATTGTAGTTGAATGAACGTGGAAGACTTAGACCGCACCGATTGCAAAGCAGTCAGAACGGGGGTGCTGTTAGAGAGGGCAATACCTCGGCATGCTTAGTGTGATAGCTGCACGTTAGACGAGGGATGTAGCATTGTAAAACTGGTTAGTTGAGTGAACATGGAAGTTATAGACTATAAAAAGCAGTCGTAACTCAAACCAAGGAGCTTTCTGAGAGGGAACACCTGTGCATTACCTGTCTCATGTGCTGCACATCATACAAGGGAGGGAGATCACTCGTGTTTTGCGACAATATAGGGAAGATTTTGGAGATATAACCATCATCGATTGCATTAGGTCATCCCTGTTTTGTCTACCATCCTTATATTCGAAGAATGTTTATCCTTTTCTTTTCTTACTGCATTTACATGCATTATAATTTTGGGTCATAATGCCCATTATAAACAAGTAGCAATAGAGTCTATGTGTTTTTTGCCTCAGACTGTATGTCATCATTCACGTGTTTCTTTCAGCAAAGTACATAAGTGTACCAAGTTAAATTTTTTAGAGGACCCAGCATAAGCAAGTTATAGGCAGAAACACAATTTTTACTGCCTGAGGCTGTTTGTTGTTGTTTACAAACTTGATGATTGGTGTCACATGTATACAAACTTTTGTATTGATGGTATAATGTATGGCATAGGGCTGTTTTCCGTTTTTTACATGTAAACAATATTGTTAAAGAAATTCAGTGACTTAGCACACCGGGTAATGGAATCCTGTCAGTTTACAAACTTTCATCTCTATACCTAACATGGTTTTTGAGATACGCTTGTTGAAACTGAACATGACAACAACAAGAATTCAGAAAATGTACTTTCCTTAATAATTTTAGGTACACATGTATTTTATCATTTTGAGGAGAAGTCGGATATGATCGAAAAGGAAGTGAAATTTGGATTTTATGAAGATAATGCTGACAGATCCTTGTCATCCCTGTATGCCGTAAAATTGGTGATAAATTTCTCTGCCTGCTTTTCTCGTAATGAACAAAAGTGTAGGCGTGGCTCTGTACATGGACTGTGAAGTACTCTCTCTGTTATGGAAAAGAGGTGTAGCATTGTGGCACTGTAAAATGACATGTACATACCCGGGCTGTGGTATTAAATTCCACTGTTGCTAATGATAGTGAGAGGAGGACACCATTAATGTACGTATGCACATTACATAAGGCAACTTATTGAGCTAATTGCATTCCTGATTGTGTTAAATGGCATTCCCTCAGCCATTAACTAACCCGTAGCTTCCCGTGACAGTAGTCCCAAATGTTGGAAGTTGTAGCTCAGTGCGTTGTGTATTAACCCTGTATGTAGTACATACATTCTAGTCTGATTGCCTAAGCTAACATTGCGCAGTGTAAAATAGATACATGGACTGCAGTAAACTCCTCTCTCTGTTGTGATAGTGAATAAAAGTGTAAGAAAAGGGGTGTAGCACTGTAAAACAGATACATGTGTTGTGGTTCAAACATGTGATAAGCTCTTCTGTTAATGAATAGAAGGAAGGACGTAGTTTATTAAATTGTTATATCTGCTATGGTAGTGAATTTGAGTGCTAAGAAAAGGCGTAACACAAATAGATGGAGGCTCAGTTATCACCAAATGTTTGTGTGGCATTTCCAGTGCAGGTGTTGTTGATTGTAATTCATGAACTGTGCAGCTAAATTTCTCTGTCTGTTATGATAGTGAATTTTAGTTGAAGTATGGGAGCTACCTGTTCCTGTGCTGTGACCAGTGCAGGTGTGGGTGTAGAGTCATGAACTGTGCATATGCACACAAACTTTGATGCAGTCCCTGTTTTGCTGGACGTTTGTAGGAATGTAGCTTAGTTATACCTTTTGCTCTGGAGCAGTATTCTGAACCCTTCACTACTGAAGTCAGCGTTTTAAGTAATATACATATGTATGTCATAACAGTAACTAACTGAACTTTAAACTTGGGGGGAAGCTCTGTGTTATGAAACTTACAGCTCTCGTTATTAGTACATAGCTTATTTTTGGGGTCTATTATGGATACAACATGAATTTGGACATTCTTTGTGATCTGCAGACTGTTTTAAGCTACGTACCCTTCAATGGTGCTATCTATACTATACTGTGTGTACCCCTGTGTGTAGTACATACATTCTATATAGTCTGATGGCCTAAGCTAACAATGCAAAGTTCACTGTGTAGTAGACCTCATTAGCCTGTGGATGACCCTTGTTCTTGGAGATACTGCACTATACTTGTCCATTGTTAGGTAATCTTGCTTAAACATTTTGGTGATCTTGAAGTACCATTTTTTATATGCAACTGCTTGTGTAATGTGTATTAACCTGACTGTGTATCTAATCCTTAGCATGCATACATGCAGTTCTTGGACAGTCCATTGATCACTGCAGTCACTACAGGCTCTGGCCATAAAGTAACAGCCTCAGTGTTCAAAGTTTAAGAACACATTTTAAAAGGGAATAATTTTAGGCTCTGTCCAGTATTCTAGGCATAATTATGGCTCTAATGGCTGCTTTGTATGGTACACAGTTTTGAATGCAATGCACCAAACTTGGTGCATCGTTGATATTTTGCAGGCCGGTGTGCTAGTACTTCAGTCAAACTAGTTGGATTGTCAGAAATCAGTTGACTGTGTTTAATCTCCAACCTGCCGTGCGGTACAGTGTGTGCATTGTCTATGAATACCTGTATAGGTGTGCAGAAACATACGCAGAATGAATTTGGACATTGATTAGGTAGCAAGGCAAAGCAACTAAACGCAGGACGTTCTGCAGTCTACTCTATACACAGAGCTACCAGCACAGCTCAGCTGGCAGGCAAAGAACCCACGACACTCTGCAGTCTGCTCGGGAGTCAGCACACAGGGTTCATATCTACAACACAATAGTAGACAATACAAACGCAAACTCAAGTTGATGGTAATGCTGTCATTTTCTGTTGGTGCTAATGTGCAAAAAAAACCATGCATGGCAACACTTTGCAGGTCTCCAGGTGATCTCTAAAATATATAGGGACAGGTCAACGCCAGGGTTATCGCCATTATAACTAAACTTCCAGATGTTCACAACAAGCTTAGCATTGAAGAAAACTTTCTTCCCAGAACTCAGTATAATTACCAATGCTTTACTCAAAATATCTGCAATGTTTATAAGTGATAGAGCTGGTGGCCTAATCTACATTCATGCATGAGTATGCATTTTGTGGATTTAATTTACCCATTTTCCCTTGCCAGGCAAGGGCCAACTTCGTAAGCAGCATCAGCCTATTCTCTAGTTAGCTACTTCCAAGACAGACACAATGGGAACATCATTTCGACAAAACAAGGACCCATCCTTCATATTGGTCAGCTGTGTAAACCTCTTTTTGTTATTCATGGTAGAGAACTATCTCCTCAGATTTTGGAATGCTGTTTGAGTCATCTCAAGGATGGAATCTAGGGTTTGCTGACCTCGAGTTGACTGAGGAAATGCTGGATATGGATGGCAAGGAATCTGATACACTACAGGTTTGAGCGTTGGTGTACAAAGGAGTGAAGCTCAAAGTACCCTTGTTAGGGAAGATATTCATGCCCTGTGTAATCGCTTACTATACATTTTTTACTGCAAGTAGTTCCTGGGTCTGTGTGTGCAGGGTTACCTGTATCTGAGAGCCTACCAAGAACAAGTGGTGTCACTTGTCTCTCACACAGGGTTTCGAGAAACTCAGCGCAGGTGACCTCACATGATGGATCACATGACTGTCATATGATTGTCTCATGACCTCAGGGCCAGGTTCAAACATAGTCCCAGTGAGAGAAAGGCTGCCAAGACCATCATTTAAGTGGCGGAGTATTTCTGCCTAAATTTCAGGTCTGGGAAATGAAATTATATGTATGTATAAGTTACTACTCAGTTTACTCCTTCAGAACTAAGACATATTATGATCTCATCCAAGAAAACATCTACTACCACAAAGAAACTGACTAATTCTTCTTCTGTCAGCGTCAAAAATTGGTGGAAGGGGAGGGAGGCAAATGGTTGTGAAAACGCAAAGTACGACTCACGCACGTGCGTTGGCGTCCACTTTACACGATTTTTGTTAGCCAGCGGTTGACCCTCGAGAAAAGTCGCTTTAAGAAAGGCAGGCAAGGATGGGAGTTTTGTTGTTAGGTAGTTGTACTCAATGAAAGTCGATGAACCCCCATCGTCCTATATAGCGAGTTCAAGGGTGTCCTTCAACATGTTGAAACACTCTCGAATTCGCCTTGTTAGTCGCTATACAAACAACTCCTGGTGAACTGTTCATGTCATGTGCTAATTGGTAGCCTCGGTCCCACGCCTCCTTTACTTTCAAAGGTCAAGCATACCGTTTTACCTCGAATAAGGGTTAATTAGCGACTAGCTATGAAGAGGTTATTTTCATCAAGACGTGGTGGTTTTGTGACGTGAGATGTGGTACTTATGATGGAGGGGTGATGCAGTTTTCATGAGAGTTGTGGTTTTTGACGGAGAGGTGGTGTGGCCTGGGAAGTAGTGTGCGTTTTTTAAAGTGGTGTACCTGTCGTAAGAGGTGGTGCTTTTGCGGAGACGTGGTGGAGAGGTGGCGCTTTTTGCTGAGAGGTATTATAGTGCGAGGGCCTACGCGCGTGTGTATACTTGCGCGCTGTGCACGTGCCTACAGATAAGCCAACACGAGGCAGCTACCTGCGGCATAAAGCGACGTTGTCAAGCCGCTCCTACTAACTTACTTTGAGCAGGTCCGATGTTTTCGCAAGGTGAGCTACACAGCGTCACTGTGTGCCCCGGGTAGACAGCTGCCTCGTGTTGTTTGCAGTGCTCGGCGCACTGCGCGTGTATACACTTGCCCGTAGCACTACCTCTCGGCAAAAAGCACCACCTCTCAGTAAAAAAGCACCACGTCTTACGGCACGTACACCATCTTCCCAGGCCACACCACCTCTCCGTCCAAAACACCACACCTCTCATGAAAACCGCACCACCCCTCCATCATAAGTACCACCTCTCACGTCACAAAACCACCACGTCTTGATGAAAATAACGTCTTCATATCCAGTCGCTAATTACCCTCGGCGCGCATGCGCAGCGAGGGTACAGTAGTTTGTTTGTCTGTTTGTCTGTTACTCTATATCTCACTATTCGAACGTCTGTTCGTCCCAGAAACGATGCCATCTACCCAACGGGCGACGAAGGTCAGAAAATAAAGGCGATTTTCTCTGAAAATGCTCCGTTGCAAAGCTAGAGCACGAAAAAGCCAATATGCAAATACGCAACGGACGGGACGGCTTACCGCGGTCTGACCGATCCGCGTGCTCTGCGACCTCGGAGGCACCAGAAGATGCAACGCAGGGCGTGTATCGCCTCTCGCATGCTGTCTAGTAGTGTAGTTAGCCCGCGTCAGACTCTGCGCGAGATGGCTAGAGACCAGGAGTAACTGCCAGAACTAAACCCAGCCCATCAATTAGTGATACAGCGCATGCGTTTACTCACGCGTGCGCGTCACAATGCGCCGAGGGTTTGCACTTCAGTGTTGGCAGTGATCACCTCCCATACCCTCCCATACCCTCCCTTGAGCGCTATTGCTGATGTAATGACGTAAGTGGGTGTAACTAAATGAACACTCGTGTAGATGATGTAATGTTAGGCCATTACTGCCGCTCCAAGACGAGCATCTGTTACGCAGGTAAGCAGAGAAAGCTTGAAATATCTAACGCTGTACTCTACCTTTTTCTGAACTGTTACAAAGCTTTATGTCCGGAATTTTCTCCATTTTCGCAAACCACCGCGGATAAACGCGCCTATTTGTTGCTGCGTTACGCACTGTGTCCAACGAACCTCCTCTCGTGTGCTGAGTGGCAGAGGGTTTCTAGCAATTTACGTTGTAACTCGCTGGGTAACCAGGGGTAGAGGGGGGTTGGCCGGCTTGCAGTTGCGCTACGTAACTAATCCGAATTGCGCGTGAACAATTAGCGCTGACATCCGAAGTTTATGGCCGAATTCGTTATCTCAAAAGTTGAAGGATCCGCTTGAAATCGTGCAGAGAGAGTTGTATATAGGAAATGTTGCTGTTGTTATTGGCTCAAAACACTTAGCTATGGCGCATATGGCACACGGTACGTAAAGACTGGACAACCTTATCTCTCTGGCTGTTGAAGGTCTCTACTGTAAATTAGCTATAGTCCTCCCGAGTCAGTCGAGGATTTGCACTTCAGTGTTTTCATGATCAGTGCAGATTCAGATGGCTCACTCGGTGCAAACTGATCCAAAGGCTACGCCAATATGACGTAAGGTACGGCTAATTCCGATCCGCAAAATTCTTACTATACTCCATGTAGCCTGTAGTGAGAGAATAGCTGAAGACAAACAAACAGACACACAGACAAAAAAGATTAGCAACGATTGTGCGTGGGCGTATGTTTCAGAAACTTTTTTTCAATGCCATAGCAAAAACGCTGGTGATTTATGGTGAAATTAGGTATATTTCTCGCATTTTTCCTACCTTGTTTTCCAAACTCATTAGCATATTCATATTCCTCCTCAATACATTCTCTATGGGAGAGAAAACTCGTTCGCGACTCACCCAGGAGCGAACGGTCCGTCTCCATTATGCGCAGTGGCCTGCTTCGGTATATACGCGGGTACGGGCGTGACCGGGTGGCAAAGGTCAACGTGAAAATGTTCAAAACTTGGCCACGCCTATTTTCGGGATGCGCCTGCGCGTGCCACAGGAGGCAGAAAGAACGCCTTTGCGCATAATGGAGACGGACCTTTCGCTCCTGGGTGAGTCGCGAACGGGTTTTCTCTCCCATAGAGAATGTATTGAGGAGGAATATGAATCTGCTAATGAGTTTGGAAAACAAGGTAGGAAAAATCCAAGAAATATACCAAAATTCACCATAAATCACCAGCGTTTTTGCTGTGCCATTGAAAAATATATCTGAAACATACGCCCACGCACAATCGTTGCTAAGCTTATTTTAAAAAGAAATAGGGGGTATACTTATAGGGCCGCATCATGATCAGTTATATAATAGCTACGTAGCTACAGTTGTAAGACAGCGCATGAAACGCTTCGTTTGTCTATCTAATGATATGACATTTACAGTGAACAATCTACGAAGCAAACGCATATATACAATAAACAACTACTTCTTCTGCTTCTTCTTTTTAGATCTATACTTCCAGATTTTAGTGAGTATAACAGCACCAGCTCCTACGGCCCCACCAACGACTCCTCCCACCACACTCCCAATGATGCCACCCAATGCCCCAACCCCAGCACCAGCTTGAGCACCAACGGACCCTCCTTTCAAAATGTCACTAATCCATTCCATGTGATCTATCACGATCGGCTGTTCATCGCCTTCCTTCTCGAAGTCGCCTTCCTTCACCTCGCTCTCTTTCTTCAAGCGATGTAGATTCACTTTTGTTATCAGTGGTTGAGAACACTCCTTTGCGCGGTCCAGAAAGATGATCCAGAGTGCGCTGAGCCAGTACTTTCTGCCAGGTAAGTTGGGCTTTTTGATGTGACCAGCGGGCTCTACGGGTGTTTCGTCAACAATTTCTTTACTCACACCTTCACCTAACAGAATTTCGTGGATCCGTTGCTTCCAATCCTGTATCCTCCCGTTGAACCGCTTCCTGAGATCATGCTTTACTTTTAGCGCTGCTTCCAGCGCATTCGCACGAGTCAAAACGAAGATAGAATGCTCCCACCAGTCCTGGCCGAAAGTTGCAATCAGCTGCTGTATTGCGCGGAGGTCGCTTATTTGCTCTTCGTCTTTATTATATTGAGTGCGAGCAGCTGAAACGTCGATACAGTATATGATAACATCGACATTACTACACTTTTCTTTAAGTTCAGCGAGATACTCGGACTCATTTCCGGAGCCGTCCTGAAGACCAGGCGAGTCCCACACCAGAACTTCCACGCCGTCTTTCGCCTTTGCCACGTAGCTCGTCACGTTTTGCGTTACTGCACACAATTTGTTTCCAGTGTCGGCCACACGTTTCCCTACGAGGGCATTTACGAGTGTCGACTTTCCCGTTCCAGTTCTTCCCGTTACCAGAATTTCGATCCGCCCCTTACTGCTTTTTCGAATCCATTCCTTAATTTCTAGTTTGTCTCGATCTCTAGACCATCAATGGCCGCCAACAACTCACTAGAAGCTGCATCACTTAAAGCCATTTTCCTATTCGAGTGAGATCTATAGCTAGAAATTTTGAAATAAAACAAGACGAGCGTAGTTATATTGGGCGCTATGCTGCCTATGATTTCACTTGATTGCGCGCGCACGAACGCGCAGTGGTGCATTTAAAATCGCCGACCGTCTCATATTTTTACGGGTTGAGTATATAGTACCTAAGCCCTCATGGCTGAAAGCGCGGACGTTGACCTCTACGATACGTTTGCGCAACTCCCTGACGAACGCATCAGCCAAGAACTGTTAGAATGGTTCAAGAAAAGCAACGAAGTCAAAATCTTTATCACCGGGAAGACTGGGGTCGGCAAGTCCACCCTAGTCAACGGCCTCGTGGGGAAGCAAGTGGCTAAAGAAGGGGATAGTCTAGACCCAGAAACATCCATAGTAAAGGATTATAAATGTAAACACCGTTCAGTCTATGTGACCGTGTGGGATTCGCCCGGCTTGCAAGACGGCACTAACAAGGAAGGCAAATATTTGGAGGACATGAAGAAGAAATGTTCCGATGTGGATCTAAGCATCTACTGCGTGGACTTCAAGGAAACACGCTTCTTCCCGAATTGTCCAGATATTCTCGCGATGAAGAAACTCACAAAATTGTTTGGGGAAAAAATGTGGGAGAATGCAATGTTTGTGCTCACGTTTGCAAACCTTGCCGAAGATTTGGACTCAAAGATACTCGAGGCAGACGAAGACGAAGAGAAAGCAAGGTTATTCCAAAATAAAGTGGAGCTATGGAAGAGGGCGCTAGCTGACGCTCTCATTGCAGATGTTGGTGTGGATAAAGAAGTTGCCGAACGCATCGAAGTCGTTCCAGCGGGCCACGAGAGCATACCAGCACTTCTAGACCGCCCTCATTGGCTCAGCCCCATTTGGTTTGCTGCTCTTTACGCCATGCATCCTCGCGCTCAGCCTGCTATGCTAAAACTCAACCGCCACCGCATCGTTGACAATCCAAAACAAATCCGTGATGAGGACCTCAAGAAATTTATCGACCAACAGCCACTGATTTTCTCTCAACGCGGAGCTTTAATTGGTGAAAAGTACGGGGAAAGTGAGTTGGGGCAGGCCATTGGGTGCACCATGGGGAGTCATGCCTCCGTCGATTTGAAAGTAGCTCTCCAGATAAGGAATACAGTCACTGAGCTTGCCAAACGTTATGGCCAGGCCTTCATCGACATGATCAGAGACATATTTTCCTGAACATGTGTATTATGACTATATTCGGTAGCCATTTTGTATATTATACAACTGTCTTGTATAGTTAACTATTAATGACCTAGTGTTCCGTTTGCGAGAGAGCGTGAGCATAATGTTTTGTTCAGTGCTCAACGAGTCAGCCTCGCTTGCCAAAAATGCGTTTAGACAGGAGCGCGCGAAGGGCGGGAGGAGCATCCGAACGATCAGTGGTCGGTCACCAGCAATCCTCGGACATCATTGTAGAGAAAAAAGAGAGGGCTGAGGCTAGATCCAGCACACTGATAAGTAGTAGAAGTGGCTATCTATTTCCAGCTCGTCTGTCTCCAAGACGGAGTGGTTGGCGCACGAAATAGACATCCAAAATGTGGTACAATTGTCGTCGTAGCTACACCGTCAGAAAAAAAAGACGCACGCAAAGCCGGTGATAATAGCGAAGGAAACTACTGCTTTCCCACTCCCTAAAATGAGCCCGTTACCACAAGCTTTACTTCCACTACCGCAACCAGTCGGTTTACGAAAGGTCACACCCTCAATGGTCAAAAGTCGGACGTGCCTCCGTACTTTGATGCCTTCTGTATGGAGGGTGTAGCTACAATGTGTGAAAGTATCTTCACCAACATAATTATTTTCCCAGAGTATGATGTAGAAGGACTGATATCAAAAGTTGCCGTCCGATTAGGCTGTGGGATCCTAAATTCACCAACGTTTTACGGGACATAACTGGTTTTAGCTACGAAACTTAGCTGAAATGAGCAACACATACATAAATGTGAAGTAAAGAAGTCAATTCTCCAAGGCCACATTGTCTGTAGCTAACTAGGGTCAGGGAACCGAGCGCACTCTTAACTGGGCAAAAAGACCCAAGAACAATGAGTCAAAAACGTTAAGAAGACCGCGCGAACCAATCGCGTTCCGCACGACACCCGAAAAAGTGTGGGCGATTTACGTGACGTGAAAATCCTGCAATATGATTGGTCTTCTGGAATTCCTGCAGTAGGGAACAAGTCGATGAATGGCAGTTCACCAGGCCTTCTCACCCGCGTGGCTCCGCGAGGCTATTTTGACAGGTGATATATCCATAGCTAGTTGAACCTAGATTGGCTTTCCATCTTAGTCTGTATTGGTGTACGAGGATGACCACTGATCGATCACTCTATGGCGTGGAACACTGGCTTCTAGTGGGGAATTTTACAAGCCTTACGCGCGCGCATGGGCCATTCCCCACTTGAGAACCGTTCCACGTAAAGTCTCTTTAGCTCAAACGCCCTTCTGCGTAGTTTTACGCTCCTTCGGGCTCTTCAGGTGTGGATACTTTATTCGAAATGATTTTACACGCTTCCTAACTAGATCCTCGATGCGTGATCAAACCGGCGAGAGAACCTAAATTTTGACGCCATTCGCTGCACAACGGTGGACCGAGGCTGTACATCTTTTCAATCTTCGTGGTTTCAAGGTGCAAGTTGTAAATAGGCTCGTGCATATACAGACATTGTGTGCTCGCTCCCCCTCGCAAAAATGCCTTGCATTCGCCTACCTACATTGTCGATGGAATTCTGGAGGCTGCACGATAGAGAGACGTAATGTCTCACATTTCTGTGCACTAGAGACGTTTAGTAAAGAAATCAGCGCTTCAACTGGTTCAAGTATTGGCCATTGTCTGCATAGCCATGATGTGAGCGGATTCTCGCGTAGGTAGCTAAGGATAGGCCTGTGTTCCTAGTGGTATTATAAAGCTGATTGTGTGGTACACGGATCACGTGAGATTCGACATCTGCGGCAGAATGTATATAAGATCTGGCGGGGTTAGGGGCGGAAGATTCTACTGCTGCTTAGCTACATACTCAAAAGCAAACGATGAGCAGTAAGAAGAAGCTATATATCCTTATAACGGGGACACCAGGAGTAGGAAAATCTACACTTGTTGATGCACTCGCGTGTAAACCTACAGCGAAGACAGGTAACCGATTACTACACGTCGAGTCAAAGAACGTGAAAAGCTACAGGGTGACGGCGGAAGACGGCGTAGATGTTGTGGTGTGCGACTCGCCTGGTCCCCAAGACGGCCAGGGAGAATATCTCGCCGAGCTGAAAGAAAAGTGCAGCAATGTCTGCACCGTCATCTATTGCATCGACATCTCAGCTACTCGCTCCAGTGGATTAACAGCTGCAGAGATAACGCAAAACGACCTTTCTACAATACAAAAGCTGACTACGACTTTTGGCTCTAACTGGTGGAAGCGCACCATATTCATCATGACTCGTGCAAACGTACTGGAAACAGCACTCAAAGTCAAACCAGATGTCGAGAAGAGGTTCAACGATAGACTGCAAGATTGGAAAGAGCGAATTCATGCCACATTAATCGAAACAGGCGTGCCACCGGAAATCGCTTACACAATACCAGTAGAACCAGCTGGACATCCGAAAAAAGCCACACCTACCTGGTCGCGAGAGTTGGCTCAATGAGCTCTGGCGTGTCATCCTGACATCTGCAACACCACCAACAACATTAGGAGTTATTCTACCGCATCTGCATACAGCTGTGAATTTCAACCCTTTAGAGAGACTATCTTCAGCAGGAATTGCGGCTAGGGTTGGTATCGTTGCGGCGTCGGTGGCTGGGCTCGGAGCCGTCGTTGGTTTTGTTGGAGGTCCTGTGGGCGCTGCAGTCGGAGGTGCCGCGGGGGGAGCAGTCGGATTTGCTGCTGGTCTTCTCATCCATGTAAACCGTGCCATAAGAGAGACATAATTACCGTTAACCCACGGCGCTCATGCGCACCTAGGGGTATACTTGGTTTCTGTCTGTCTGTTATATACCACTTTCCACTGTGCGCAATAAGAGCTATGCCAGCAGATTCGGCGCTACTTTTAAAACCTTGAGATTTCGTAAAAGTACGGCGTGAAAACAAGGTGAACAAACCATTTGCAAATGGGCATGGCTTAGACCTGGACTTAGACTCCGCCCGTGTGCGCATTGTGGAGGCTACAACGGAGGGCGAGTAACTATCCAGTCCCGCAATGAACTGTCTACTTACATATCCTCTCACCATGGGCACCACAAAGTACACCAGCGAGTCGATTAGCGGTCTAAAGATAGGACAATGAAACCCAGACCCCAATGCCGCTCTCAAGCGCGCGGAGTATTGCGCGTGTCCAACTGAAGGAGAACTTTCGATCCACGTTGTATGCTTGATGCAGGACTGGCGTCCCAGTGTCAGCATTAGTATCGCATCCCAGACCGGACCCGTATGGCACAGGAGAACCAGGACGCGCTCGAAACCGTAAATTCATAGCTCCGCCCTCTGCGTACTTGTTTCTCTGCCGTTGTCAGGTCTTCCAAAACGCTGAATATATATTCGCTGGTCAACGGCAGCAACGCACAGACCGAAGAGCGCGTGCTCTGTGCAGCTTATTACAATGGCTTCTAACGAAACCGCCCAAGAGGAGCTAAGAGCCAACTTTGAAAGCCTGCACCTACCGAGGGATGAAGAGGAAAAACTGAAAGATTGGATTAGGAGCAGTAAGCGGCGCATCGAGATCCTGATAACAGGAAGAACAGGAACGGGGAAATCCACACTGGTTAACGCTCTCATAGGCAAAGATGTGGCCGGTACTGGAAGTAACTTGGCGGTAACAACGAAACACGTGACCGGCCACACGGTGAAAGCGGGGGAAAGCACGGAAATTGTGGTGTGGGACTCGCCTGGTCTTCAGGACGGGTCGGGAGAGGAGGATGAATACCTCACCCAAATGAGAGAAAATTGCAAAGATATCGATATTATAATTTATTGTATTGACGTTTCAGCCGGTCGTGCTCAATTACAAGGTGCAGAAGTGAATCAAATGAAGGACCTCTGCGCAATTAAACAACTGACAGCGAATTTTGGCACAAATTGTTGGGAACATTCCATCTTCGTCTTGACCCGTGCAAACGCGTTGGAAACATCCCTGAAGGTGAAAGATAATCCCGAAAAAATTTTCCAAGACAGGCTAAAGGATTGGGAAAAGAGGATACATGCAGCACTCTCGAAGGAAGGTGTACCAATAGAGATAGCTAACCAAGTACCAGTAAAGCCAGCTGGTTATCCCAAGAAGCCTCACTTACTAGGCCATCAGTACTGGCTCAGCGAACTCTGGTTTGCCTTTATGAAAAATGCAAAGAATCCATCACAGCCAACGATTACGAGAGTTAATCAACATCGCTTTCAAAAAGAGAATGAAACAACCACCGAAGATTTCAAGAAGGAGGGTCACGAGCAACCGATTATCTCAGATACCACTTGGGACACATGTCCCATTGAAGGAACTGTTACAATTGGTTTCCTTGTTAGAAATCGGTCATGGACATTGCCGGCAATGTATTAAGTACAAAACTGGCTGAGCCCTCACTAGGATGGCCTGAGGATTATGCACCCAGGAGAATAGCTACACTATTATGTTGGAAGCCTTTTGTAGAACATTTCGGATAAAAGTTGGCGCTACGGATGTGCGTAGATGCGCGGAAACACCACGCTACCCACTGGTGTCGCGCCATTCACACGGTATGTTGGTGGCGCCGGGGGCGGGGGGTGTGGGCAACCCTGGACTCGATACAATATCCTACAAGCTCCGCTGAACGGGTGAACACCAGACTGAGTATGGTCGAATTTTTCCCGTCGTATACACTGATAATCGTTCTTTGTTGGCGAGCGAAGCGAGCCCACCTAGTCTTATGAATGCAGGATTATGTTGTGACCCGCACTGCCGCAGGCATGTTTACTATTGGCTCGTATGCGTAGCTAGCCGCGCAAAGCACAATCGATGAACGTGATACTGGGAAGAGTTCCTCATCTTTCCCGGCTGGCTGCACGGCTCAACCGCAACCAGCGTAGAGTGAAGTCGAGAAGTAGATACTGGGTGCAGAATGAAGAAAGTTAGTTATTCCTCGGTGGCGGGCGAACCTGCCGCAACATCGTCTGAGAAAAGCAACTGAAGACTAGGTATGTGGTGGGCTTGCTTTTGCTCCCGGAGGGCAGCGACCCCGAGAGTCAGAGGTTCGTATATAAGAACTGATGAGTATAGTCGTAATCTTTAGCCGTACCCTGTTAGATTCTCGCTAGCTAATAATGCTAGTACCAAAGAGGTTAGGCCCCCGAGGATGCCCCGCGTTCAAGTCGACCTTGCTATGCCACTTCGTCGCGCGGGTGGCAGCAACCTCGTGTTTGGACTATATAAGTATACAATGCTGGCATGGCATTCAAATCGCAGCAAGGAGACTGCTATAACGATAAATATTCTCAGGACATGACTTGGATTTGCAAATGTGTGAACAATACATTAATTATGGACCTAGTTAGTTCTGTGATGTTGCTTCTAGCATGCAGCATGGTCTCTTGATTGTACATAATTATTATGATCCCTTAATAGCTAGACGGTGTAGTTGTCATTTTACACTCATAAAAAATGTCTTTCAAGCCAGCAGGATAGATAATAGCTATTATACAAAGCACTCTGCCACAGCTCCCATACCATGAATAATAAAAAGCTACACTGAATAATATAGTTTCATTTTGTCCACTTCAGCACACTAGTAGTTAATGTAATCCACCTGGGTGGTTCGCTTGGTATGGCTTCACCCTCCTTGCACGGGGTTCATTCTCTTCCTTCTGGAGCTCATTGCAGCGCACGGTCTCACCCTGTTCATATGGAGGTTCAAGGTCTTGCATGTTGTAACTTTCGCTTTCTTGTTTTGAATGTGGTAGATCTGATGCTATCATCAGGGCTTCCCTTAAATCCACTTCAAAGTGAGTCATGCTCTTAAATTCAACACATAGAAATTGGTTAGCAATCTTCGTCACAGGTTTACCTAACAGAGCATCAACAAGTGCAGACTTTCCTACTCCTGGTGTCCCCATTATCAGTATGTCAAACAATTTCTTGAGTGGTGGTTCATTGCTTTTCATGGTTCCACCCACTTCGAGCAGTGAATGAAGTGGTGATGCGGCCTCACCTCTTTTGATTAGTTGCTGATACCCTTGCATGGACTCACCATCTTTGGATAGTGGTTCACCCTTTATGAATGGTGGTTCATTCCCTAGCATAGCCATACTCTCTATGGATGGAAGTTCATTCTCTTGCAATGCAGGTTGTGTTTCGTTTACCTGTGTGGCTTCACACTCTTCAATACGCATTTCATTCACACGGGTCGCCATATCCTCTTCAGAGGAGGATTCCTTTTGCTGCATGGGCTCTTTTTCTTTGGAGCATGGTTCTTTCTCTGGTGTTATCTCAACCCTCCTCGGTGTT